CTGTACGGACAAGTTTAGGACCACGTGGAATGGATAAAATGATTCAAACAGGTAATGGTGAAGTAACAATTACTAATGATGGTGCAACTATTCTTAAACAAATGTCTGTCATTCATCCGGCTGCAAAAATGGTTTGTTGAAAATAGTTTCATTGAAAAAAATCTTTATATTTATATTTTTTTTGATATATATATTTAGTTAGTTGAATTATCTAAAGCACAAGATATTGAAGCAGGTGATGGAACAACAACAGTTGTTGTCATTGCTGGTAGTTTACTTGATGCAGCTAGTCGTCTTGTAGCTAAAGGTATGAATATAACATATAGTTCAACATTTTAATAATCTCTCATTTGGAAATTTTCATTTTGGTTAAAAAAGTCAATCAAATAAGATTTATTTAATTAAGGTGAATGGAGATATCTGTAAAATCTTCAAACATCGCGAAAATTACAAAAACAGATCGAATATTAAACGGATACTCATTTTAGGCTGAGCTTTTTGTTTACAGTTGAAATATAGCCTTTTTTTGTAGACACTGACATCCATAGTTACTTTGATTTTTAATCATTCAAGATGTTTTTACAAATAAATATCAAAATAACTATCATTATCGTTCACAATTTTAACTAAGATAACAATGAGTGTCCATGTGGTTGATAGTCTTTACGCGTATCGAAAAGTTATTCATGACTATCTTTATATTACATTGTAAGACATCTTATATAAGTTAAAGTCACAATGCGTGTCTATGGAGTGTCCAGCATGGGTGAAATTTTTGTGACTCAATCAAGCCAGACATCGGTGTCTATGAAGTGTATGGTTTCCCATAGAGTGACCGTGTCCGAAAAAAGGTTATATATTTCAGTTGAAAACAAACAGCACAGACTGGAGTTTGATGTCCGTAGGTTTTACAGATATCCTGTGAGTAGCGTTACTTTAATAGAAAAAAATTAGAATAAGGAATGAAGATGAATAATTCTGAATAGAAAATAAATTATGAAATATGATTTTCTAAGACAATCTTAAATGATTTTTTTTTTGATAAATTCAATTGTTTTTCCAGAAATGAAAAACATTTTGTAAATCTTACTATGATTATATATAATTCAGGTATTCATCCTACAACCATAGCTGAAGCATTTGAAAAAGCAGCAGAAAAATCAACGGAAATTTTAAGAGATATTAGTATACCTATACAACTTAGTGACAATAAATCCTTACAACAAAGTGCTTCGACTGCATTGAATTCAAAAGTAAGTCTACAAAAAAGAAGAAGGTATAAAGAATTTTTTTTGTTCTGTCATCATCAATTTATGAATAGGTCGTTTCACAACATACACATCTTCTTGCTCCAATTGCTGTTCAAGCTGTGCTTAGAGTAATCAATCCAACTGTTGATACCAATGTTGATCTCCATGATATTCGTATTGTTAAAAAACTCGGGTATTATAGAAAATGACTAAGTATAGAAAAAAAAAAAAGAAAGGAAAACAAACTTTATTTATTTTAGAGGTACTATTGAAGATACAGAATTAATCGATGGTCTTATTCTCGATCAAAAAACTATTGGTTTTGGAGCACCAACTCGTGTAGAAAAAGCTAAAATAGCTCTTATACAATTCTGTATATCACCACCAAAAACTGATGTATAGAATTTATTTTTCTTTTTTTTAAAAATATTTATTTTTAAAATTAATCTAGATGGAAAATACAGTTATAATTAGTGATCATACTCAAATGGATCGTGCTATAAAAGAAGAACGTCAATATATATTAAATATAATAAAACATATCAAAAAAACCAATTGCAATGTATTACTTATACAAAAATCTATATTACGTGATGCTATCAGTGATTTAGCTATACATTATTTAGCAAAAATGAAAATATTAATTGTTAAAGATGTTGAACGAGAAGATGTACCATTTATTGCTAAAGTAAATGAACACTTTTGTTTTTTAACATGCCTTATTTTCTTTGATTTTAATAAATAAATATTTATAAATTTAGACACTTGGTTGTAAACCAATTGCAAGTTTAGATCATTTTCAACAAGATATGTTGGGATCAGCAGATCTTGTTGAAGAAATTACAGCTGGTTCAGATAAAATTGTTAAAGTATGTTTTTTAAATTCATAAGTGTTGATCATATATATTGGTTTAAAAAAAAATTGTTCATTGATTCTCTTTAATAGAAAACTGAAAAATTTCTTTTGAAAAACAAAAAGTTAATACCAATATACTATCTTTACTTACTAGCTTGATGGTTATAATGTTCAGAGAAAATTTCGTATTTAATTCTTTTTCCTACAAGAAAAAGAAATCTAATGGCGAAGAATAATAAAACTTAGCGAGAGACTTTAAAAAAAAAAGAAAATTAAAAATATAATTCTGCAAATGTTTGTTTTTAATAGATTACAGGTGTTGCTCATCCAGGTCATACAGTGTCAATTTTATTACGTGGTTCAAATAAATTAGTACTTGAAGAAGCTGATCGTTCAATTCATGATGCTCTTTGTGTTATACGATGTCTTGTCAAAGAACGGTTCGTAAGAAGAAAAAAAAGTCTTGTATTTATTATTTTTTGTTATTCTAATCTATTTGTAGAGCTTTGATTGCTGGTGGATCAGCACCTGAAATAGAATTATCTGTTCGTTTATCTGAGTATGCACAAAGTTTATCAGGTGTTGATCAATATTGTATACGTGCATTTGCTGAAGCACTTGAAGTTATTCCATATACATTAGCTGAGAATGCTGGTTTAAATCCTATTGCTACTGTAACTGAATTAAGAAATCGACATGCTCAAAATGATGTTAATGCTGGTATCAATGTTCGAAAAGTATATTTGAATTTTTTTCTATATTGTATTGTTTTAATAAAAAATTTTAAAACATAGGGTCTTATATCAAATATTCTTGAAGAAAATGTTGTTCAACCATTGCTTGTATCGATGAGTGCTATTCGTTTAGCTACTGAAACTGTTCGATCAATTTTAAAAATTGATGATATAGTAAGTTTTTTATGTTAGTAATTCTTATAATTTGTCATATATATATTTTTATTTAATTTAGATCGAAACTATGTAATCGAATGCAAATCAAAAAAGAATTCTTGAATATGTGAATGTATGATTATTCCATAGGAAACTTTGTGTTGTTTTTTTGTATTGCTATTGTTTCATGATAAGTTATCTCTGTTACACATCTGTGCAAAGTGATAAAAAAACGTATGAATTTAATTTGAACAAGATTCGTTTTCTTTTTTTTTCTTATGAATAAAACTTTGCAACGGAAGGATATTATTAATATTATAATTAGGATTTGGAAACAGCTGGAAATCGATTGTTCATCGATGCATATTTAAGATGTGTCTGTGATATGTAATCTTTCGAAATACAAAAATGTCTATGCTCTTTATGCATTCTAATTATTCTGAAGTTTTATTACTTTGTCAAGCAAGTTTGTTTCATAAGATTTAACACATTCAAGAGAGTTTTCCTAACAAAAAAGAATGTCATTATATTTTTTCAGGGTTTATTGCGTATATTTTTTGTCATTATATATTCCATATATAATGAGGATTTTTTAAAATAGATAGTAATCTCGATTTTCATCAATTAAGCATAACGCCGCATAAGACCATCAATCTGTCTATTCTTTGAATTGTTTAACAATTCATGTGTTATTCGATGCACGCCAATTTCATGTCGACTAGTTTAGTAGTCATTCAATGCTGCTGTGACTCCTATAGAACCAAGTCAACTTTTTATTTGTCATCTCATTAATGATGAATGGTTAATTAGCAAAAAAAATCGGTTCTACTCATTGGCTTGTTCACAAGCATAGACAAATGTATGGAGTTAAGTTGAAGTATGCCTTTATATGCTAATTAATAGTGTTTTTTAATCGTATAGTTGCGAAGCTGAAAAAAATGTTCGCTGCTTAAGAAATTGGATACTCATCATTTTTGACACATGATTCAATGCCTTTGTGGTTGGTGTATTAGTAAATTTAAGTCAAAATAACTGAAGATTATGTCAAAACTAGAGTGATATTTGGAATTAGCATACAAAAGCTGAGTTGATTTATATCTTTCAAATATTTGCGCGATTTTTTTTTCTATCCAAAAATTGACTTATGATTCTCCTTAGATTTGACTCAAATCAAATTTTCACTGAAAAGTCATTTCTACAGTGTGAAATAGTTTCTAATTTTACAAGATAATAAAAAGAAAATATACAACATGACAGATGTATGAAGAGCAAATACGACGTTTTGAGTTTTTGAATAGATCTTGAGGAAGAAGCAGCAGTCAATTTTTCGATGCAGAAAAATAATTCTCACAAGTACTTGAAAGATGTAAGTCAACTCAATTTTCAATGTTGATTCCGAATATTGTGTTAGTGTTGACGTAGTCTCTAGTTTTTCTGATTCAACTTTACTAAAATATCATCCAAAACGTCACTAAATGATGTCTCGAACGTATGGTAAGTGGAATTTACTTAAGTAACCAACACTTTTTGAGTTTCGTGAAAGTACGATTTTATAGTCTTTGAAAAGTAATATTGATTTAGCAGATAAACATCATCCTCAATTTAACTCTATACGTCTCTTTTTGTAGATAAATCAATGAGCAGAACTAGTTTATTAGCTAGAAAACTATTGACCAACAATGGTTTGACTAGATATAATATTGTGCATTGAAGAATAGACAAACATTTCGTCTTACAAAGTCTCGTCCTGTATACATAAAATGAATGAAATAGAATTGATATTTGAAATAATTTTCTTTCTTATTACTGAATCTGAAACAATTTTATCATGCAATAATAATATGAAAAAATAAGTATTTTGTTTGAGAAACTCCAAATAAATATTTATTAATAGACACAAAGAAAATCATACATCTCAAAAGCATATGATATATGTATTAATTGAACTTGTTACAATATAAAACAAAACAAAAAGAAACCAATAAAATTATTTTTTTAAAATGTCTAATCACCACAATAGACACCACCGTCATCAACAATTTTAGTAGTAGCATGAGTGAAAGTTAAAGATAAATTAACCATTAACATTTTTTTTTTATCATTATTTGGACATTGAAGTAAAGTGCTTTTAGATGTTGTTGTATTTTCATTATGATGTCTTTCAAATTCATTAACTCTTAATGAAGATGATGAATGTGAGAAATGTTGATGATCATTACCACGATTTAAAAAAAATGGAAATGATCCATAATTTGAAGGTATTTCATCAATAGCTACACTATGTTTAAGATTCTTTTTAGCTATTTCTTGACGATTACCAAGTTGAAGTGATGACTGTCGACCTAGTTGATGTTTATGAGAACATTTTTGTACATTTTCATTATGTAATGTATGTTCTATAAATATTCCACCAGGATTAAAACATTTAAGTAGAATTAAATATTCTTCACGAAATGAGTCTGATAAAAAAACATATAAAACTGGATTAAGACAATTATTAGCATAACCAAAAATTGTTGTCAAATGCGTTAATTCTTTAAGAAAAGGCATATTTGAATTAGCTGGTAATATAGAAAAATGTAAACGCAATGAATGTATTAATGGATCAATAGTGATAAATATTTGTAAAAACCAATATGGTACCCAACATATAAAATAAGCTGTTATAACAGCAAGAACAATTCGTGTTACTTTACGATGTGAACGTTGTTTTATTCCAGATTTATGTTTTTGACGTATACTATTAAGACGTATAAGAACAAGTATATAAAATGTTGTTATCATAGATACAGGAATAAGAAATCCAAGTAAAAATCCATAATAAGTAAAAACTATTTCAGGAGGAATTCGAAATATAATTGCTGGAAAATCAATAACACACCTAAAGAAAATCAAACAAAAATGGAATTTTCTTTCGATTATTTATTTGAAATGTTAATTAATATAAACTAATTAATTCATGAAATTATTCATTGGAAAAATTTCTCCGTAGATAAAACTAAACGAATTTAGTCTTGATTTAAATTTAATTATTATTTCCAAGACAAAAAGAATCATTTATAAGTTAAGATTTTCAATAGGATTTGAATTATATATATTGTGATATGCTTCGAAAAGTCAATATGAAATTATTTTTATTGCAAGAAAAACCTTTATGACTTATTCTTAGCGTTTATTTCTATATAAGAAATCATACTAATAAGAAAAATATGCCAGAATTTCTCTAATTTTTAATTTTTTTTGATTTAAGTTCTTCTATATTATTAGATTGAAAGAGGAAGAAATGACCTTAAAATGAATAGTTTTGCGTTAGATAATTACAATTTAAACTTGTATTACGTTGTGTATTCATGATAAAGTCTTCAATCTAAATAATCTTTATGACAGTTAATGACAAGATAAAGAAGACCATATCCGCACGTATAAAGTCTTCAGTGAAAATTTTCTATTTGTATTTCAAGAAAGTTTTTCTTGACATGCACAAGATTAACTTCATTCAACAAAAAAAAAACAATCGTATCTATGATTTACTTGCGTCAGAAGGAGACTTGATAATACTTAACAATTATTGTGCATGCTAAAAACCATTGAAAAACATAAAAACATGTGAGTCTTTAGAGAGAAAATTGCGTGATTATAGTCACAAGTTTAGTTTCATCAACGATAGAAATAAAGGCATGCACAATTTCATAATATGTATACTATTAACACTTGAAAAGCATGTCGTTTTATGCAAATTTAAATGATCTTTGAATACCATTATTGATATAATGATGTCAAAAAAATCAGATAGATTATGTATAAATCGATCTATACAAACAAATGAGTCAACGTTGCGTATATTTTCATGGTTCGTACCTAGAGAATATGTTTTCATATGATTTACATTTAACATTTGCCTGAGTTCTATATGATGTTCACGAACATATGAATAATATTTTTTTTACTAGCGTGTTTAAATGTGTAAGATTATTCTATGTGAACATCAAAACAGATAAATCTTATATGATCTCATGCATATACGGAATAGCTATATTTATAATAGTGTCATTTTGACATACAATATTAGAGTTCTGATGTGCTTGTATATTCATATATTAAAATTAGTCCAATATAAAACCTTTTACATCTTCAAATTATTGTGTAATCGTATGGAAATTTCTTAAATATTTTTTTTCGAGAACTACATTCAGAACTTCCGTGTCTGATTGATGTAGACATGAGCACATGCACTTGGAATGAAATAAGGCTAACTGACGTTATTATTGATATGATGACATTTGAAGACATGAAGACAGTTACAAAGAAAAGAAAATCTTTTAAATTCAATGAAATTACTTTTTCTTTATATTCGTTGATGACATCGATGGAAATAATATTTTTTATTTTTTATTATGAGTATAGTTATGTACGTCGTTGAAGTTCATGACATATGAAGATAGAGTCAAGTTAATAAGCTTTTTTCGTGACTACTAGCGTCTACTATGTTTCTATAATTTCCAGAATTCTCATAAAGCAAAATCATTCATATATCTGAAAAAGTCATGACCTCACAAACTATGAAATGTCGATGGAAATAAATAATGGAATTATCGTCTATGTGTTTTTTTTTACTTATTTTTATAACTATTTTTAAAACAAAGCATAGATGCAGTTAAAAGAATTTCTAACTAGCTGTAATCATAGACCTTAAGCAGATTGTTTTCTCAATTATCCAATGATTGTATGCATGAGACAGATCTTTTAAGATATTTAACTAAGGAGGAATAGTGAAACAACAAAAAAACCATCCATTATGTACTCGCATCTCTCATCAATTTTATAGATTATCTGTCTCCATAATTTCAATTAAAGTCTGACATGTTTGATCACTCTCTTCTGGGATTTGATGGCAATTTTTTTTGCAACTTGTTTTTCGTATATGAATATTATCTGCTTAGAAATAATCCAGCAAAATCCTGTTCGTTTAGGAAGCTTTTGTTTTTCTAAGTTGACAATTTAATAAAGGGCTTTTATCGAGCAACGCATTGAAAAAAATGAGTGGGTGATACTTTTCTCTTTTTTGTCTTACAGATTTATTTTTATATGAAAAATTTTGTTTGCTCTGTTCGAGGATGTCTTTTTAACTTTAAGTATCGCATTTAATGAAGGTGAATTAAAATAGAGAAAAGTACTAGTTTCAAAGCATAAAACCTAATCGTATTTCATCTATAGAGAGATAAAAGTAAAATAACAATACGAGATAACGAGTGTGACTATTAATTATCTTAGCTTTCTCGAAGAAAGGAAAAACCGTGTCATATTTTCTTACTTTTGCACTCGATAACCAAACCAGATCACGTATTGTTCAGATGTAACAGTTGCAAATACCCATGTTGGGCAAAGAAATAGAATGGATATAAACCAACAAGCTAAATGAAATAATATCGAAAAAAAAACATGAAAATGATTTGTAATATGTTTTATTAGCATACCACTAATAATTATTACACATTTTGTTCTTGTTCGAAATTCAATAGCTCGAACTGGATGGCATACAGCCAGATATCGATCAAATGATAAAGCAGCCAATAAAAGTGAACTAACATATTGATTAATATGAATTAAATTATAATACATTTTACACAAAATATTTCCAAATATCCATCCATTAGCAAGTATAGTAACAATAAGAAATGGTACACTCATAAGTAGAACAAAATCTGCAATAGCTATATTAAGTAAATAAGTATTGGTCACTGTTCGAAGACGTGATGAACGAAGAATACTAATGATAACAAGACCATTACCAAATGTACCAAGAAAAAAGAGTATTGCATAAAATGGAACAAAGTAATAAGTTAAATAATTATTTTGTTGTACAATAGTAGAAGCAATAGTTGTATTATTTGTTAACGGATGAACGTTGTCAAACATTTGATTTATTTTATCTATTTTGTATTGTATGCAATCTCTTTTGAACATTTAATTGAGAATAATATTCTTCAATGTCACAAAAAAACAGGATTAGAAACTAGAAAATCCAAATGAAAGAAGATTTATTTTTTTTCTTCGCATTTTTTTCTCTCTTCCAGTTTTTTGTTCTGTCATTGTTAGAAACAAAATGCAAACAAGAACAAGAATCCTATAGATTAGAGAGAAAAAACAAAACAAAAGATAACTGTTATTATCTTCATTGTTCAATACTTTGATGTTTATTCTACATATGTTGTAATTTACTCATTCTATTTTATTAACAAGAGCTTTTTATTATTAATTTTTGTTTGAATAATTCGTTATCTATAATCTTTTTTTCTTTCTTTTTTTCTCTCATATTTAATATCAAATATTCGAAAGAAAAACATTAATTGTGTACTTTCTGTTGTATGAGGAAGTGCAACTATAAGAACTATAATTATACGCTTCCTACTGTTCATATAGAATAGTTTTGAATATAAAAAATTGTCAAAAGATAATGCTAGATCATTAGGTTACAATGCAGTACTGATAATATATTCCTTCCTTTTTTCTCAGAAAATTTTTCCATATAACGAGTGAAAGTTCATAAGCTATATCAAAAAAATCATAGTTTCTTACCTCATTTTCACAATTAACAAAATAGCAAATTGTTAAAATTTTCTAAACATTTGTAAAACTTACGCTTGGAATATGTTTATAATAATAATGTTAGAATGCTATATGTTGAATTATCAAGAGAAAATTCTTTGTAATATGGTATGTTGTGTATACGTCAAACGACTAAGATCGACATGCATGTTCAGTCTTTTTGTGATTATTATTATTGATTGCAGACAATTTCATACACGATGTGTTGTAGAATAATGAATTGTCATGAAACATTTTTCCTCTTAGCCTTAAATAGAATAGAATTACGCAGAAGGAAATGCAAATCAGTGAGAACGAGAATATCCTGTTTGACATTTAGCATATTCAAATGAAATATTTTGTAAGATTTTTCTCTATTTTTTATTTTTACATCTGTCAAATTATTGTTATTTATATTTAAAAGAAAAAAGAACAATTTTATTTTTACGATAAAAATCTTGATGGTCGTGCTCGTGTCTTTTTAGTTGTTTGAAGATAAAGACGAATTATATGTGGATCATCATTACAACATTTAAATGTTGCACGACAATTTCGTTTAATCCAAAAAGCAGTACGAAAACGTATAGAAATTGCTTCAATATTATCATTATTATTTGTTAATGTTCGATTAATGATAAATTGTGCACTAACATTTAATTTTTTAACAAAATGTAAATTATCCATTAATAGTTGTTCAAGAACATGAATAAATAAATTTTTATCGACGTATGAAGTAAAAATAGACAGATTTTGAATATTAGGAAAATAAATAGCTAAAAATTGTGTACATAATATATCAAATGATATACCCATGGAAAGACAAATAACACGAGTAACTGTTGGTATTGAAGAAAAATTTGTTATATTTTGTTTATTAATACCAAAAAGTGATATATGAAGATATTTTAATTTTGATGTATATTGTAATAATTCAATAATATCATTTAATGATATGTAATTTATTGTTAAATATTCAATATTACTAAAATTTTTATCAATATTTAATATTGATGGAAAAAAACTTAATTTATGATGTAAATTTAATTGAACATTAATTAATGTTGGATTTTCAAAAATAAGTTTAATATTTGAATTAGGTAAATCAATATTTTGAATGCATAAACGTGAAATATGTGGAGGAAATTGAATAAGATTGTCGAAATTACATTTAATTAATGTTAATGAACGAAGATTGGTAAATTCTTCAAGACATATTGGTGATGATGTAAGAGTTAATGATAGAACATAATGTGGAGAATAAGTTATATTTTGATTTTCTGATGATATATGTAATTGAGTATGCAATATAAGTTCATCAATACGTTCATTTAAATTTGAAAATGAATAAAACAATTCATGTGCCCAAAAATAATCAAAAATAGAGAAAAATAATTCTGTAGGAAAATCTTCGAGACGTGTTGCCATTGAATATGAACTTATGATAGAAAAACAACAACAACTATATCGATCTATGTTTTCTGTTTATTATATTACTGAAGATAACATTTAGTATAATATCCAACAAGAACTGTACGATAAAAGAACAGAAGATGGCACTAGATTTTGTATGAAGGATATAGATTAGTTTAAAATTACTCCACTCCAGAGAATAAAACTCCGTAACCTTCAATGATGCAAATTCATATCACTCTTCTGAAAATTGTCTTCTATTACGAGGTATTTTTTGCTAATATATTTACCTGGGAAATCGAGTATTTTTGAAAAAAATATTTCTGAGATTCAAATAGGTATTATTAGCAACTAATTACCGGAAAGCCAGGTTTTACACTAAAAAAAAGTAATTTAAGTTACAAAAGAAAGATGAACTATTAAAGTGCCGGAAACGTAAAATAAAAGGAAAAGCTTTTCCTGTCTTTATATGTCATTAGATAGAACTTGATGAATTGATCAAACTTATATGCATTTTCAATATTTTTTTAGCGAAAAATTTTCCGTTTTTTCAAATAATTCACTTCTTTTGACAAAACGGTCAATTTTTGAAAATCGACAAATTATCAATATTTTTATTTTCTTGAAACCTCAAAACTGCTTGTTTCAGACTTAATTTAAAAAACAACAATTTTGAAATTGAACGGAAATTTACTATCAGAAATCGATTTGTTTGTCAGAGGAAATAGATCATTTACAACAATTGAAAGCTTTTCGCTAAAAGATCATTGCTAAAAATTGAAAACGCGCATATTCTAGATCAGCTCGTCAGGCTTTATCTAACCATCTGTAAAAACATTAGTTAAATATAAAATACAAATCGTTGGTAAAATCATGAAGTTATGCTTTATTATTGAGCAAATTTTTACCATTGTCTAAATATGACTTTAGATCATCAATCAACTGTTCATTGATCGGTTGCGTTCTATGACTAAATGAATTGGCTGCTTTTTTCATAATTTTGGACGACATTGAAATAATCACTTTGTTCGTTGTAACTATTGTTGATTCCATCGTAATGAAGAACAATAACCCGTATGTTTAGATGATAAAAGTAAATTAAGTTAACCTCGAATGTTTTAACATACTCATCCATATTCATATAATTGATTTCAAGATCTTTGTGTTACATGTATAAGACAATGCTGTCAATTAAAAATACAAATCTTGAAGGCGAACTATTCAATTTATTTTTAATTTCTATTAGCCATGAACAATTTATCTATCTATAATTATGGCTTAGCAGGTACCTCACTGTCTTATATTGATAATATAACATGAAGTAGTTGAGGATCATCGCTGACATTTAGTGTTAACTTTAAAGTCTATATAGTTAGAGAGTTATTAATTGTTTGTTCAATTGATTCGACATGAACGACAGTGCACATGTTTAACAGAATTTCATTTTCAATAATCTAATTTGAACAGATTTCGCTGAACAAACTACATAAGCTTATTACATTGCATATGGTTGAGTTCAACATGTCTTGCGAAGGAGATATCTGTTTTCTGAAAACAAATTAAGAGACAACAATAGACTAGATTGACCGTATCTATTGTGTATGAATTGACTGTGAAAAATATTTTGAAACTTCAGAAGATTACTATCATTTTTTTCCTCATCAAACTACTGAATTGTTCGTTTAAAATAATTTTACTACTAAGATTGTTGCATTAGAATTAGAATTAGTATTAGAATTAGTTAATACTAATACTAATCTGACAACTCTTCCTGTCATGGTATGCAATTCAATTAATTGTTTTCTGAGATGGATTTAAGTTTGCGTTTCTGGAAAACAATAAGCTTTGAATTAACAGTTCTTGATAATAATAAAAAAGTGCATTTATAATGTATGCCGACCTCTAAAGTACGCTGCATCACCGTTCAGATAAAAAAATTGGCATCCCTAACTATGATAGAACTGGTATTGGTCGATAATTTACTTTGATATGATCAATAAAATGAAGCTGTCCATTATTGTTCCTGCAGCGTATTTGAAAAAATAAACAAATTCATGTTTTACATTTGCTTTCAAAGAAAATCAAATTAACCCATAAAATGTTCGATGAGATATATTGATCTTTGTTTTAATTTTTTATTTTTATGGAAAAATAAATCAAGAATGTAGATGTTTTTTTCATTTCATGTTAAGCATTGAATGGCATGAAGTAATGAATTCATAGATGACACACACCATGACACGAAAAAACAATACTTTCTCAAATCGAATGTTTATGACATAAGTAATATGTCAATGGGTTATCTGAAAACTTTTAGACAAGACGTTTTTTCACTTTAAGTTTGCTAGAAAGTATTTCCGACGAGTCAAAAACTATGAGTTATGACCAGAATTTTGTGATTTTTATAAATATGGACGTATAAATATTATGTCTATTGTTGTTTAAGACTAGTGAGGAATTATTCGAAAGCCCTGAAAAGTTATTTTTTATGATGAATCAAAAGTTTCTTTTTTGTTTACCCTGTAACTTTCTTCCCGAACAAGCTAAAAATTGTCGGAATCGATCGTTTTGTACAGGAAACATTTCTCTACAAAATGTGATGTTGAACTAAACTGTAGTTTTGACACAAGTAAGGCTGTAAACATTTTTTAAGAGTTTATTTCAACGTAAAACAGTCGTCAGATTTTCAAAAAAATAAATGTTTAGGAAAAACGAAAATTAAAATATCTTCTTGAAAAACAAACAAAACTTCAAATAATGTATTTTGTACAGTAGCTTTAGATTGACAAGCTGATGATATAAATAAAGATTGCAACTCTTAGTTTCGAATCGTAATCGTGAAAATGCAAATAATATGTGGAACAATTTTTCATCCAAACTAATTTTTTGAGCTTTTCAAAGATTATTTCACTATTCTCAAA